TTATTTTATTTACTGTAGAGATGAGGTCGCGCCTGCCCAGGCGGATCTCGAACCCGCGGGCTCAGGCAATCCACTCACCTCAGCCTCCCAAAGGCACGGGATTACAGGCTGAGCCACCGAGCCCGGCTTTGGGCTGGAATCTTACACTGGTGGCTCCAGTGGTCTGGGGCTGTCTCAGGGGCAGTCCTACCCTATGGCTCTACTGAGCATTGCCCTAGTGGGGGCGGGAGGACAGCAAGTGGCCCTGGCTCTGTGGCAGTTCTTGACCTGAGTCTTGGCTCACCAGGGCATCTTTTGAAATCTAGGTGGGGGTAACCATGCCCCCATGGCTCATGCATTCTGCACACTGCCTGAGATGGCACCATGTAGGTGCCACCAAGGCTTACCCTGGGGGCAGGGGCAGCCACTGTGACCCCTACCACACCTAGGTCTACTGGGGCTGAACCTGGGGCGGTGCAGAGTACTGTGATGAGACACAGGGAATAGAGCTTGGAGGTGAGCACTGAGGTCCACCTGTGGGCACCATGGCTCCTTCAAAATTATGATGTCCCGCAGGTTCTGGCACTCTGGGCTTGTGATGGGAGAGGTAGCTCCATTAATCTCTGGAATGCCTTTGGGGCCACTTTTCCATTTTCTTGATGAATAGCACCTGAGCTACCCGTGCTAATCTGTTTACCAAATGGTTACTTGACCACACCCCTGGGGTCTTCTCCTGAACACATTTTCTCATTTTTCACAATATGAGCAGGCTTGAGAAGTTTCCAGATCTTCAAGTTCTACTTTATAAGTTCTACTTTTTTAAAAATTAAAACATTCATCTTTAGCCAGGCATGGTGGCTCATGTCTGTAATCCCAGCACTTTGGGAAGTGGAGGCAAGAGGATTGCCTAAGTTCAGGGGTTCAAGACCAGTGTGGGAAACTTGGCAAGACCTTGTCTCTACAATAAATCAAAAAATTAGCTGGGCATGGTGGTGCGCGCCTGTAGTTCCAGTCACTTGAAAGGCTGAGGCGGAAGGATCACCTAAGCCCAGTAGGTCAAGGCTGCAGTGGTCATGAGCGTGCCACTGCACTCCAGCCTGGGTGACAGAGTGAGACTCTGACTCAAAAAAAAAAGTCCATCTTTAAATTGTTTGTGTCTTCTTGCATTTTACTGTTAAGCATTCAAGAGAAGCCAAGCCACACTTTCAGCACTTTGCCTAGACATTTCTTTAGCCAAATATCCTCTTTCATTTCTCATGTTTTACCTTCCACAAAACGCTAGGACATGAACAAAATTCAGCCAAGGTCTTTGCCACTTTATAACAAGGGATGCTTTTTCTCTAGCTTGCTTTTGTTTTGGAGTTGGACTCTCTCACTGTCGCCCAGGTCACTGTCGCCCAGGCTGGAGTGCAGTGGCACAATCATGGCTTACCGCAGCATTAACCTTCTGGGCTCAGGCGATCCTTCTGCCTTTCTGCTTTAGCCTATCATGTGGTTGGACTATATAGACACATGCCACCACGCTGGGCTAAATTTTTTTTATTTTTTGTAGAGACAAAGTCTTGCTATGTTGCCTAGGTGGTTTTGAACTTCTGGCCACAAGCTATCCTCTGGCCTCAAGCCTCCCAAAGTGCTGGGTTTACACACATGAGCCACCATGCCCAGGCAGTTTATGGTATCTTTTTTTTAATAGTAGCCCAAATGAACTAAGAAAATTTGTACCAGGAAGTGGGGTGCTGCTCTAACAAATACCTAAAATGTGGATGCAGCTTTGGAGTTGGGTAGTGGGTGGGAGCTGGGAGAATTTTGAGGTGCATGATAGAGAAAATCTACATTGCCATAAACAGACTGTTAAAGGGTGATTCTGGTGGGGGGTTGGAAGAGAGCAGTGGCAGAGAAAGCCTCAGTCTTAGAGATTACCCAAGTGGTCATGATCAGAATGTTGAGAGAAACACGGATAGTAAAGGCCACTCTGGTGAGGTCTTAGATGGAAATGAGGAATACGTTATTGAATACTGGAGGGGGCTGGGCGTGGTGGCTCCCCGTAATCCCAGCACTTTGGGAGGCCAAGGCAAGAGAGTTGTCTGAGCCCACGGGTTCAAGACCACCCTGGGCAACATGGTGAGGCCTTGTCTCTTCCGTAAGTTGAAAAATTAGCTGGGCATGGTGGCGCACACCTGTAGTTCCAGCTACTTGGAAGGCTGAGGTGGAAGGATCGCCTGAACCCAGCATGGCCCGGAGCGTGCCACTGCACTCCAGCCTGGGCAACAGAGTGAGACTCCAACTAAAAAGAAATAAAAAAAAAGAAAAAACTGGAAGATAGGGCCCAGATACAGTGGCTCACATCTGTAATCCCAGCAGTTTGGGAAAAAACAAAAAACAATAACAACAAAAAATCCATAAACAAAACGGTAGCTTGTAAACAACAGAAATTTATTTCGCATACTTCTGGAAGCTGTGAAGTCTAAGATCAAGGCATTTTCAGATTCTGTGCCTGGTGGGGACCTGTTTCCTGGTTCATACATGGTGTCTTCTTACTGTGTCCTCAGGGTAAGTCACGGGTGGGGGGACTCTGTGGGGTCTCTTATAAGGGCACTAGTCTCATTAGGAGAGCTCCAACTTCATGACTCAGTCACCTGCCAAAAGGCCTCACCTCTTAAGACCATCACCTTGAGGGTTAGCATTTCATCCCATGAGCTTGGGGGAGATACAAACGTTCAGACCACAGCAGAGACCCACTTTCATTTGAGCAGAATTCAACTCATGGCCCCGCTAACTGCAGGAAAGTGGGGAATATAGTTTAGCTGTGTGACCAGAGAGGGAGAGGCACTGAATATCAGTGAAAATATATCCTTCTTGCCAGGGGGTTGGTTTCTTTGATATCTGAGGGTCCTTTCAGCTCATGCATTCTAGAATGCCCCCGGGCTCTGTCCTTCCCCACCCAAGTCCTTGGCCATCAGCATCCTCAGCCTAGTTGTCCCTCAGCCTAGTTCTATGTCATCCTGGTTTCCCCAGACTTGCCAGCCTCTTTCGGGCCCAGCATTGTCTTTCTCTTAGGTTTACTAGAAGGAAGGGTCCTGTACCTCCTCGCCTTGATGGAATCTGAGCAGAGTCACCGAGATGTAGCGGGGCAGAGGTACAAGGGAACTTAGAAACCTTCTTGTTTTGTGTTTTGTTTTGTTTTGTTTTTGAGTTGGGGTCTTGGTTGCCCAGGCTGGAGTGCAGTGGTGTGCAGTGGAGTTCAGTGGCATGCTCATTGCAGTCTTGTCCTCCTGGGCTCAGGTGATCCTCCTGCCTCAGCCTCCTGAGTAGCTGGGACAACAGGTATGCACTATTACATGTGGCTAGCTTTTTACATTTTTGTAGAGATGAGGTCTTGCTATGATGCCTAGGCTGGACTTGGACTCCTGGGCGCAAGCAAACCTGCCTCAACCTCCCAAAATGCTGGGATTTCAGGTGTGAGTTCTGCCTCCAGCCTACCGGTGCTTCTTAGCCTTTTTATTTATTCTTTTTAAAGGGGGCCTGGAGACTGTCAACCTAATTTAAAAATTTAATTAAAGCTGCGAACTCTCTAGAAAAATGCACATATGCACAATTTACAAACTAGCTTGGACTCACTGTCACTGACTTCCTAGAGTAGAGGTTCTGAGCCTTCACTGTGCATCCCAGTCTCTTGGAGTGCGTATTCAAAATGCAATTCCTGGGCCCATTCCCCAGGATTCCAACCCAAGAGGTATACCCAGGAACCTGCATTGTTGGAAGCCTCAAAGTAGGCGGGAAAGAAAGGCTGTGGGCCTCAAGTGGGCACCTGGCTGCACTCCTGGGTGGGTCTGTGCCAGGCAGTCCCCAAGCTAGTCCTTCCAGGGCCGAGCAGAGCTGCATTGGCACCAGCTTTGTCCCATTCTCTCCTGCCCCCTCTGCCCCATAGTAGTAGGACTGGCAGAAGCCCAAGCCAAACACTCAAGACTCATTAGAAGAACAAATGGAACCTGGGCTGGTCCCAGCGCCCGGGTTCTGTGCTGGGAGGGAGAAGAGGCAGGTGCTTCACTTCCAGAGAAGGCAGAATGGGGAATGGGGTGTGCCTAGTGGTGTCCCACACTCTCCCCGTGTCCAGGGAATGGCTCAGAGCCTTTGCTGGGAGTCAGAGAGAGAGGAGAGCAACCCACACAAACTTTGACCAAAGA